GAAATATCATAGACAACATATTTAGATATAGTTGAACATAATGGAATATTCGTAATCATATTCAAATATCCTACATAACATATTTGAATATTACACATAAGTATCCATGCACAACATATTTAAATATCTTACACAATAAAAATACTTATAATGAAATATAATTCAACATAATTGAATACGGTTTATTTCATTTGGAACCATAACTAATTATACTTGTACTAGATCACATCTTTTACCCACAAATTACATAGAATGAGTATAGAAAAATAACAAATATCTTCAAATAAACAAAGATCTATACTAAAAATGAAGGAAGGAATGGACAATTTAAAGAAACAAGAGGAGATTAAAGTTTTAAAACTAAAATCCACTTAAATCTTCCTATTTTTGAAGATAAGTATTATACATGTGAGACTCACCATAAATTCAATCAAATTCACTTTTTTTTTTTTACCAATTTTATAAATTCACTTTATTCTATCTTATTCTTCCTTATTTTCTCAAAGACATCTCTATCGAGCAAGAAAGATATAGTAAAATAAAAGGTAGTACAAATTTTCAATTAAGAAGTTGAAAGTATAATTAATAAAAATATATGAAAAAATAGTATAAATTTTTTTGCAAGATAATATATTTTTTAATCTGAAATTTTTATTTTATTATTTTACATCTAATAACTTACTATTAAATTTTTTTAGAAATATACTATAATATGGTTTTTTTTCTTAAAAATTTGATCCAAAAATAATTGACTAACTCCAGCTCTAATATTAACTAAGCTTTCTCACATGAAGTCACTCACCACAAAAAGAAAAGTGAATTTAACAATAGGATAATACTGGTTTAAAATAAGATTTACCTAAAAAGAAAAGAAATATGGGTTTGATAAGATGAAGACAAAAGCAAAAGCATTAGCAGTAGAAGGAGAAAGTGAAGAAACAAGATTTTACGATTACAAATAAAAAAGGTGAGCTGGATTGCGAAGGAACGGAACAGGTGCTTTGGACTGGTTCGCCGCCCAAGACACTAACTGCTTCTTCTAATTCCCGACAATATCTTTCTTATCATTAAAGTTGTTAATAAAATACTACTCCCCATATATATATATATATAAAAGGATGTTATAATTATATCTAAAGATGGTAACGGACGGATTGAGTACGAGTTTTATGATATATGATTCCGTGAGTCAAATTCATTCTCGTTTCCGTACCTGTACTTGCTGGGTATATAATTTTCATTCTCATCCCCGTTCCCGTCGGATATCAAGTATATTCGTATATGTATCTGTTAAATTTTTTGTTTTTTATTTTTTGTAAAAAAATGATATTTTTAAATCATTTTTTATTATATTATAATTATAATTAATTTATTTCTCTATCTCATATTATAATAAATAATCACACATAAAAAATATTAAATTTTTTTGATATAATTAAATTAAAAGTGGGTATTAAATTAAAAATGGGTATTAAATTAAAAATGGGAACATGGATGGGTACGGGTACGGGGCAGGTAAGTACATACCCGTACCCGTACTCGGTTAAACTGGGTATTCCCCGTCAAAGTCGGGACGGGTTCAGGTATTACCGGGTACAAGTATATTTGTCATGCCTAATTATACCGGTGTAATTTTTATTAAGTATTACACCGCTCAATAAATTTATATTAATTATGAATTTTGTAAATTCAACCGTTAGATTGAAAGTTCATATCACTTTATACGTGTATATCAAATTTTAGGATTTAGGATTTAGGGTTTACAAATTCATAATATTTTATTTAAATGTGAATTTTGTATAATAAAAAATACTAAATAATTTTAAATTTTTTAAAATTTATAAACTTAATCTATACATTAAGAATTTTTAATTCAATAGATGAAATATAAGCAAATTTTTAGCTCTCTATATATATAGTCTTAATTTTTTAACCGAAATATAATTTTTTTAAATTAAATGTTCTTTGAAAATACCCTTATAATAATAAAGAAGAACATTATTTATCATGAATGTGATTAAGAATATTTTAAAAAATGTAGTGTATATTTTATGTAAAATTGTTAAAATTAAATACATTTAATGAACTTTCATAATTTATATGAGATTAGTTATTTTTGCTTAAATATGATTTTAATGAAACTAATATTTTAGTTTGTAATGTCTCCCCTACATGGTGATTAAATAATTGTTAGTGTAATGTTCATACAAGCTACCACCATTGTTGTCATTGTTATTGTTGTCAACATCAAGTGGTGGTGACGACAACATTAACATCAATAATGACGATAATAAATATGGCAAGAGTGATGACGACAATTGTGACATAATTATAGTGATAATGACCGTAATAAAGACACTAACAATGATAATGATGGAGATAATTGTGGTAATAACAACTATGGTAGCAGTAATAACAATAATAGTGATAGTAATAACATAATAGTAATGACAATAATGATAATGACAACAATATTGACAATGATTCAATGTTAATGATAACAATGATAATGATAGTTATAGAAACTTTAGTAACAATAATCTTATAAAAGAGAAATTTATAATTAAATTTTAATCTTAATTATTAATTATATTTATTTATAGTTTAATCAAATACTATTATTTAATCTCAATTCTCTCGTATTAAACATGTTTTCGTTGGATTATACATTATTGTAAGAGCTCTTTTGATCGTAATTAGTTTAATTATTTCATCACTTTAATCTTTTTGATTTACACGTAATACAACTAATTTATTATTCAAATTTTGAAAATTAACAATAATAGCTATTACAACATTTACGCGGTTGAATTGTCTTAATCTACTTTGAAGAGGAAGAAAAAAAAGTCTTGATCTACTTTAGTTAGTTATTAGCCTATTCTTTATTTTCCATGAACGTATCTCTTACTATTTTCCTATTCATTATTTTTCATGAGCGAACTCCCCTACTATTTCCCTATTATTTATTTTCCATGAACGTACTCCCTACTATTTCAGAATGCTTTTTTAAAAGAGAAATTCTATGGTACCCATCTTATTTGAGAGGGTACCGGTACAGTTTTTAATATTTTATATTTTTAATAATTTATTTAAATAATATTTATAATATTTTATTCTTTCAATTTTTAAATTATTTAGTTATTTTATTTTTTATTTTATATATTCTAATTTATTTGCAATAATATTATTATATATTTAAATAATTTAATTTTAATAATTTTTTAAGTTTATTTTTATTTTTTCACTTAAATTTTTTGAATTTCTATATTTTAATTTTAATAATTTTTTAAGTATTTTTTTTTTGTCTTTTTGTCATAAATTTTTGAATTTCTATATTGTAATTTTAATAATTTTTTATTTTTACTATTTATTAATTTTTCTTTTTTTTAATATTTTATAATATTATTGAAATCTTATAATTTTAATTTTTATAATTTTATCTTACTTTTTATTTTATAAGTATAATTTAGATTATTCATTTTATAATTAAATTAATTTTTTTAAAATTTTTTATGAGTTTACATAGAAAAATGTATTGGAACTCCTCGATCTTTGAGGGTACCGTAGCAACTCCCTTTTTAAAATTAACTTGTCTTACCTTAAAAGGTAGCGCATTTAGAAATTTAAAATCACAATAAACGCTAGCATGTGATGGATTTATTTATTTATTTTTTAAAATAAAACGACTCAATTTTTAGGTGTAACAAATACAACGGTTGCATAGAAGTAAATAAGTCAGTGGCTTGAAATGATTTTATGTAAATATAAAGTATATTAGTTGCCCTTTTATGTATAGTTCAATTATTTTTCATGATAATTACGATATCGCATTTTTCCCCAGATTTATACACTCATTAACTCTCTTTTTCATCAAATTGAAAATTAACAGAAGAAGACAACTTTGTGAATAAATGCCGGAAGGAAGCCACTGGGACATCTTAGCCTTAAGGGTTATAATTATAGAGTGGGTCAAAAGAAACAAACACGGAATGGCCCATTGTCATAAATGAGTTAAAGAGTAACTAAATACAATAGCATATTTTTAGTCCCTAGTTTTAAATTTACTTACCCTTTGAAGTTATATACTACAAAAAAATAGATGGAATAGTGGTAGACTGGTAGTATATAAAAAAAATGATACTATCGTATAAATTATAATTATCTGAAAAAATGAAAAGAGAGAAGAAAAATTAGCAATTGGAATTTATTTTGGGTGAATGTTTTAAAATGGGTAATTATTAGTAATAGGAAATATTGAACCACGTGTAGAGAGGAAAGAAGTGAAAACTGAAAAGGGAAAAGGTATCTTCCAAGGGAGAATAGATGGAAAGGAAGTTACGTCACCATCAAAATAGTAGTAGCAGCATCATTTATAGGAGCCAGCTGGCCACGAAAATCGTGGAGCAGACTTCACCCGAGTCTCGAGAAAGTGCAATCCCAATGCAGCATTACGTTGCTATCTCACTCCAAATTCAATTTTATTTTACAGCTATGGCTAAGTTGGAAGGGGGGCACTCCCTTATTCGAATCAAAAGATCACCAAAGTTGGCATATAATATTCCACATGCTTACGAGAAACACTGCCGTCTTCCTTGAAAAAAGGGCAAATTTAAATTTGTAAGGCTGAGATGAGTTGATAAAGTGTAATCCAAAATGGAAAGAAGGGTGAATTTCGTTATAGGCTGTGTTAGGGGTTGCACATATGTGGGAATGGTCCTAACTCGTAACCTTTTTTTTTTTTTTTTTCTAATCTTATTTGAATTAAGTAAGATTATAATAAATAATAAAGTATGTTTTTTGTTGTAAATATTAACGTAATTATTGGTTTTGATACCTATGGGGTGCTTGTACACAAATATCCATGGCTATATCTTTGACATGTATTGAGCGTAATAAAGAAGGGGCGTAGACAAGCAGACAGAGATCATAGGACAGATACCCGTTCAAATAAATGAAATATAACTAAGACACACCTTCCAAATTTAAAAAAAATGTGAAGGCAAATTTAATTGATGTGGAGATAGATCTGAGAGGGTATGCATGCAACGAACGAAAGAATAATAAGATCCACCCCACTCAACCGCAGAAAACGCGTCTTCTTTTGGCGTTTCTTTGTTCCCCACCCTCTCCTTTCTCCCCCTTTTCCCGCTATATAAACAACACAACCTGCTTTACTCAGAAACAGAAACAGAAACAGAAACAGAAACAGAAACAGAGACACAAATACAAACCTCGTAATGGCTCCGTCAAAACATCTGATCTTCCTGGTGCTTCTCCTCTGCTGCGTGAACCTCTGTAGATCTGTACAACTCAACCACACCACTCTCTCACTGTCTTTCCCTCTCACCGCACTCTCCCTCTCCGCTAACACCACCTCAAACATGCTACGAGAGTCTCTACTTGCGAGGCCGAAGCGACCTTCGTCTCCGTACAACTACAAACTAGAGTTCAAATACTGGATGGCGCTGATCGTGGAGCTTCCCATAGGGACCCCACCGCAGGTTCAGCCAATGTTGCTGGACACGGGAAGCCACCTCTCGTGGATTCAGTGTCACAAGAAAGCGCCCAAGAGGCCTCCCCCGACCGCCTCCTTTGACCCTTCTCTCTCCTCCACCTTCTCCATCCTCCCCTGCACGCACCCCCTCTGCAAGCCGCGAATTCCCGACTTTACCCTCCCAACTTCCTGCGACCAGAACCGCCTCTGCCACTATTCCTATTTCTACGCCGACCGTACTTACGCCGAGGGTAATCTCGTCAAGGAAAAGTTCACTTTCTCCCCTTCCCTTTTTACCCCTCGTTTGATCCTGGGTTGCGCTACCCAATCCACCGACCCAAGGGGCATTTTGGGAATGAACCGCGGACGCCTCTCCTTCGCCTCGCAATCCAAAATCACCAAATTCTCTTACTGTGTCCCCCCACGCGGATCCACCCCAACCGGCTCCTTCTACCTCGGCAACAACCCCAATTCCCACACCTTCCGCTACGTCCAAATGTTGACTTTTTCCAACACTCAACGCATGCCCAATCTCGACCCCTTGGCCTACACGGTCCCCTTGCAGGGGATAAGAATCGGGGCCAAAAAACTAAGCATCTCGCCTCGGGTTTTTCGCCCCGACGCTGGCGGCTCCGGTCAAACCATCGTTGACTCCGGATCCGAGTTTACGTATTTGGTTAGTGAGGCTTACGATAAGGTGCGGGCGGAGGTGGTTAGGGCTGTGGGGCCCAGGATGAAGAGGGATTACGTGTACGGCGACGTCGCTGACATGTGTTTCGATGGGAACGCGGTTGAGATCGGACGGCTGATAGGGGAGATGGTGTTTGAGTTCGAGAATGGGGTGGAGATTGTGGTTCCCAAGGAGAGGGTACTCGCGCGCGTCAATCATAATGATGGGGTTCACTGCGTGGGGATTGCCAACTCTGACAAATTGGGTGCGCCCAGCAACATTATTGGGAACTTCCATCAGCAGAATCTCTGGGTGGAGTTTGATCTCGCCAACCGCAGACTGGGCTTCGCTGCGGCTGATTGTAGCAGAAGATTGCCCTACTAGTGTTGCTGCATGTTACTCGCGTGTGTCGGCACTAGGTGATTAATTCAAATATCAACGTGTCACCTCCTGTGTGATGAGGATAGATATCACACGGTGACCACCAATACGTCCATGTGGAATACATGACATGACATGCACTCTAATATCAACGAGACCATTGTATATACGAGGATTAATTAGAGGATGTGTACGTATTGTATTATATTAATATATGATCCATTGCTTTGTTTTTTAAGATATAATATAATTAATGTATACCAGAATGTCAATGTCCTCCTTCAACCTTTTATTAGTATAGGTATGTATGTATGTATTATGTACTAGTTCCATTTTTTTAGTATGTTGTGTTGTTTTTTTTTGTAACCTCATATCCATGGCTTATTGCTACTATGATACTATCGATCTAGAATCACGAGTTAACATTCTCTAATGCAAACGTAATTCCAACGCTCATTCATATCAAATAAATGTTGTGATATTTATAGTGAAAAAAGTCAGTCTGTGTATTAAGTAAAGGAGTAATGATATATCCAAAAGTTGATACAATTCCATCCATGACAACATTTATGTGGTTACGAATGTCCTAGTCTACTTCGCGCCAAAAAAACGTATATGGTCTTCTCTTTATTTTGAATCAACTCCTTTACTAATTTAGAATGCTATTTAAAAATTAACTTGCTTACCTTAAAGAGGTAGCTTATTTAGAAATTTAAAATCATAATAAACGCTAGCATGGATGGATCGTTAAATAAAACTTTTCATTGGTTAGGTGTAATAATTATAGTGGTTGCATAGAAGTAAATAAGCTACTGGTTGAAATGATTTTAGAGCAATTATTATCTTGCCCAATTATGTATTATTCATTTATTTAATGATAATTACTATATCCTTTTTTTCTTCTTCAGTTTTTATATACATGAACTCTTTTCATCAAATTAAAAATTAACAGAAGGAGACAACTTTGTGAATAAATGCCAGAAGGAAGCCACTCGGACATCTTAGTCCTAAGGGTTATAATTACATAGCGGGTCAAACAAAAAAACAACGCCGAATGGCCCATTTCCATAAATGAGTTAGAGAGTAATTAAATACGATAACATATTTTTAGTCCCAAGTTTTAATATATATATATATATATATGTTAATTTATATATATTTTAACAAAAAAGAAAATAAAAATATAATACTCTTAGTGGATAATGGAGTTATTACACTATCCATCTTGTATATGTTGTTAAAATATAAATTAAATTATACTTTTATATATCCGGTTATACGATTCATCTGGTATATTATTATTCTTTTATTATATTAATTTAATATCGTTAAAGAATTATTATTATAAAATTTTAAAATATATTTTTAATTGAATTATTAATTAAAAATATAATTTTAATCAAAATATATTTCAAAATGCTTTTAAGTTTATTGTCATTCATTTACAAAATTAAAAAATTGAAAAATATTTAATTAAATTTAAATTATTTTATTAAAATAACAAATAAAATAAAAACTGTAAATTAAATTATATATT